ACCTTCTGTCTGATATCCCCTTGTTATCACTATAAGAATTAAGTTATAAATGAAGATAAAGTTGATAGCTCTAACTTTCTTTCTCTGCCAACTTCTCTTTGAGAGATATCAGTTCCAAACCATCAGCTATCATTGCGATAATAAAATAATGAAAATAACAATTAATTACCAGAAATTTTAGCATCTTTATTTTTCAATTCTCCAGTATTTTCTAAAAGTGATAAATATCACAATTGCAACAACTTTTCAAAATCTACCTTCTAATTTTTTTGTTAATTCTGATATTTGTTTAATTTTTTTAGCAATTATAAAGTCCTTTTCTTGAATGTCTTGCTCCTTTCTTTCTATTGTCATTCCTAAAGGTGTTTAAGACCAAATGCTTTCAAGAAATGGTCTCACACAATAATTGCAAACAGTTAGGACAGTCATATATATAATCAAGGTTTCCAACAAAGCATATTATGCAAGTGAGCTAGATCTAAACAGCATGCTTCATGAACAGTACATGGCATTTGGAAAATATGTAAAAAAAATCCAAATTTGATCGGAATCAGCTTAAACTTTTAATGCAACTTAAGTACATAAAAATTATAAAAATGGATAATTCTCTCATAATTTTCCAGGGCTTTGGCCCAATCCAACTTGACAATCTACTGGCAGAAGCTGCATAAGCATTATGCCAAAATCCTATGGGAAACCCTCCATATAATATATACCTTCGAGCATTTGACTTCTTCCAGTTTGAGGGGTCTCTTCTTCTTCTAGAAGATAATCTTCCTTCTCTATTGATTAGAGTACAAAACTGATATCAGTTATTAATCATCATTACTTTCTGATAAATCCTGAAATGAGGACAACTGCTCATTTAACAATTCTATTTTTTTCTCAAGAGCCTCAATCTCCTATTAAATAATGGAATCGGCAATATAATAAACTGATGAAAAGGCTTACTTTACTGTCTTCTTTGTCTTGTTCTTCCCTGTACATTAACTGTATGCTTGTTGCTATAAGCAACTGCTCCAACATTCCTCTACTAGTATAGACTGCAGAGATGTACTCATCTGAAAATTATGATAAGACTAATTAACTATTATTATAGTACATACCTGAGGCCTCTCCTTTCTCAGGGTAACACAAACTCTACATGTGAACAGATAAAAACAATAAATTATTAAAACTTTATAGTTTATACAACAAACAATGCTATGACAATTACCTCATCTTTGTAGTCGTAAACAGTGCAGTATCCAATGGTTAGTTTCAATAATCCATTATCTTTCAATACTTTAAGATTTTTGAGTGCCGTTGAAATGAGTCTTTCACTTAGCACAACAGGAAAAGAGCAAAAAATGCTGAAAAAATTGCCTCTTTTTATGACAGACAACTTGATATGTGGAGATAATTTCTTTGTAGCAGCTTCTTGAATTAATTTATCAATATCTTTAACTGTGCAATCATGTAAATTCTTATCAACAACAAATTCAATTCTTTCTAATTGTAAAACAGGAGGAGGAGAAAAATGCTCATTGAGGCACATGTCGAGTGACATTTTGTCGACAAACTCTTGATTTTGTGCTTTGTACTCATCTATAATTGATACTGCGTCATCAATTTTAAAACGTTTCACTATTGCCTCCAAGAGTTCAATATTTGTCAATGAGCACTGTTTACTTATCCAATTTAAGATATCTGCAACTGTTTCACATTTAGAAAACTCTTTATCAACTTCATAATCAAGATAAAATCGAAGATACTTTTTTAATCTATCGATGCTAATGCTGACAATATCACTGACTTCATCAAATGTAGCTGCAAAATGGGATCGTCTTTTTTTGAAGTCGTTACTTATATCAGAGGAAACAGAAACAGATTTAGTTTTACTCGGAGTAGTTGCAAAATCTCCAAATACATCACTTGCATCAGATGAAACAGAAACAGATTTAGCTCTGCTATCTTTGTAACCATTAAGACCAAATATTAAAAATAATAATGTATAGTTATAATAATAATAATGGCATACCTGTTTCTTCACTATTCACTGCAACATCATTATCATGAAACACTTTCACTAAAAATACAAAAGCAAAATTAAACGAATAGAAAGCAGACATGGTACTTACTGTAGTCTTGCATAACAACTTCTCCAGTATTTTTTGTAGCACTATCTTTGTCTAAGATTACAGCAAATTTTTGAAGATTTTCATGATTTAAACAGATGCTTATTTTCAAAGCACTGTATAATTCAAAACTTTCTGCAGATTCAACCAACTTTAGCTTCATTTCTCGTACTAGCAACTTCATAATAGAGAAATTTTTAAGACAGGTGGTATTTCTGATAAAATCTTTAGATATGTGATGAGTAAAGAGGAAACAAGCTGCGTGTTCTGATATGTAAATGAGTAGAGATAATAATAAGTATATAATGTGTAATTACTTTCTTTGTCAATTCCATCAGCTACTGCATTATCAAGGCCTAGAGATCGCAACGCTTCCAATAGAGTATACCAAGTTGGATCACCTTTCTTTGGCACATTATCAGCTTTTTTCAACCATAAAGCTAAGCCTTCACGAAGACAAATCTGAGGATTTCCTCTGTTTTCCGCTTCAATATCTTTTATAGTGTCATGTAACAAGCCCAGAGAAAGACAAAAAATAAAATAATCAGAACTGGTAAAATGGTATTTTCTTAAAATTGTAAGCACATCCACAAGATCATTTATGCCTATACAATATGCATGACAGTTAACATAAAACCAATGTAATGGAAACTTACTTAAAATTTTTTTAGATTCATCAACCAAATCAAAGTGTTCTCTAGCAGGTTGAACATGACTTTCCTCATCACAATTAGGCAATGAATAAAACTCATCAGAAGTTTCAGAATCAGACAAAGCTGTGAAATAATAAAAATCACA